TGAGTCTGTGAATCCCTAGGGCAGCCCCATAGAATGAGTGGGGCTCAGAGTAGAGTATTGACTCTCACTGATTGCAAGGTCAGAGTTTGCCAGATCTGCTTTCTTTCGTGAAGGAGCTTGTAATCAGCTGATTGAAATGATGCATATATATTTCAGTGGTGTTTTTTCACCTTTTTTGACTGTTACAATAAGAAATATATTTTACACCAACCCAGTACACACACACACACACACACACACACAACATACACATTATTAACATAAAGTTTTACAAGACAATACCTACTCAGTACTTGTGACATTCCCTGATATTTCCTATTCAATTTTTTAAAAATTCTGATGGAGATACAATAAATTGATTTCATAATCTGATAATGTGTTGAGACCCAATTTGAAAAGCACTATTACAGGTCACATATATGTAAAGTCAAACTCAAGCTAAAGTTCAATGTTTCAAATGTTTATTGAGTAATAATGATGTGCTAGGTGCAGTGAATGATATAAAAATAATGTACAGCTGTCTTTATGAAGCTCACAATCTAGTGGCAGAAATTAGAGAATAAACTCAAATAATTAATGAAAGGAAAAATATGAGCCAAAAAAAAAGCATAAAGATTCAGGAACAGAAGAGGTCACATCCCATGAGAATCAGGAAAGGTTTTAAGGAGTGGGTGGCATTTGAGTTAGGTCTTAAAAAATTAGCAGGATTTCAATACCTGAAGTGCAGGTGGAGGTGACAGCAGGAGTCAAGGCACAGGGTCAGGCAAAGGCAGGGTGAATTAAGGATGTAGAGAGTAAGAAATTCAACTGGAATAAAGGGTTTGCATGGTAGAGAGGTAGAAGATGAGGTAAGAGGAAGGCTGGAACCATGGTGTGAGGAAACCTGAATGTCAGATCAAAGCCTCTTCTGTATTTAAAACTGATATTGTGGGTAAAGCATCCTCCACGTGGCACTTAATTAATGTGAGCTCCTTTCCACTCCTCCTTTACTCTAGGCAGTAGGGAGCCTTTGGAAGTTTCTAAGGGGGGAAGAGAAATGATCTTATTAATCAGGGGGATTTTTTAAAATTGAAGTACAGTCAATTACAATGTGTCAATTTCTGGTGTACAGCACAATGTCCCAGTCATGCATATACATACATATATTCATTTTCATAAAAGGTCATTACAAGATATTGAACAGAGTTCCCTGCACTATACAGAAGAAACTTTTTAAAAATCAATTTTTATTTATAGTGGTTAACATTCACAAATCTCAAACTCCCAAATTTATCCCTTCCCATCCCCTTTCCCTGGTAACCATAAGATTGTTTACTAAGTCTGTTTCTGTTTTGTAGGTGAGTTCACAGTGTCCTTTTTTTCTTTTTTTTTTAGATTCCACATATGAGTGATATATGGTATTTTTCTTTCTCTTTCTGGCTTACTTCACTTAGAGTGATGATCTCTAGGTCCATCCATGTTGCTGCGAATAGCATTATTTTATTCTTTTTTATGGCAGAGTAGTATTCCATTGTATAAATATACCACAACTTCTTTATCCAGTCATCAGATCAGGGGGATTTTGAGGTTGTTGAGGGCAGAGCAATGGAGGCCCAAGCAGGAAGGTGGCAGCTGAAATAGAAGAAGACAACTGACCTTATGCAAATAGGCTCTAGTCATGGGCATTATTTGACGAGAGGGAGGGTGAGGAATTCCTGAGGAATTCCAGTTTTCAAGTCCCAGAAACTACAAAGTGAGGGAAATTATAAGAACAAGATGGTTTGAGTAGAGAGGAGGATAGTCGGAGATACAGCAATGTTGACTTTCCAGCTGAATATCCAGCGACAGAGACAGAAAGGCAGGTGTGGCTCCGGGAGAGAGGCTGCACAGAGTAGCCTCTGGGAATCATCAGCAGGAAGGTGAAATGGTGCTGGGGCTATGAAGGGATGCCGTCAGCCTTGGAGTCCTCCTTGAGGACACAACGGTGAACGGGACAACGTCCTGACCCTCAACAAGGCTTACAGACAAATAAACAGCAAAAGCAATTCCATGGGATAGTGCTATGGGAAAGGGGGGAAGAGGGTGTCATAGGATTACACAGAAGACACACCTCACTCAGATACTGGGATCACAGAGGGGTTTGTGGAGGAAGGAACATCTGAAGTGAGACATCAGTGGTGAGTAGGAGTTAGCTAGATGGCAGAACAAGAATGTCCCAGCATAGACATGATATGTGAAAAGACAGGGAGTAAGAGAGAACACTGGTGTACTGGGGGGACAAAAAATACAGGGAGCCTCTTATAAGGTTGATACTGTGCGCACTTCAGATAAAGAAATGAGACACAGAGATTTAATAATTTACCAACAGTTTCCCAGTTGGCTTGACCTGGAATCCAGGTCTGTTTTACCCTTAAGAGGCTGTTCTTTTTGTTACTCTGACCTGTCCCATGAATGTCTCTAATGCTGCGTGGGTCTCCAGTATTACTGCACTGGAATTGCAGAGAGATTGTATAGAATTAGATTAGGACTAAGGAGTAACCCTAAGGAATGCCTACATTTAAGGAGTAGGAGGAATAAATGTCCCAGCTGAAGATAGCACAGAAAGATCGATTTGAACAGAAGGACCCAGAAAGCACAGTGTGATGAAAGCCAGTAAGAGGAGTGGTGTCACATTTCAAATATGGAGAAACTTGAAGAGTTAGTAGGTTCTGACTGTATTTGGCTGATGGCAATCTCATTTAGCTAGCAGGAAAGTAATTTCCAGGGTGGATCACAAAAGCTAGAAAAAACAAACAAACAAACAAACAAACAAACAAACAAAACAAGTGTAAAGAATGCAGTGGAGTGCAGACTACTTTTTCAGAGACATTCATTTTGGGTTACAGGAGAAAGTAAGACGGGAAGCCGACTCTGTAATGGAGGTGGTAGGTTTATTAGGAAGTGATCTTGGGACAGACACTACAGGAAGGGAAGGAAGCAAGTCTGTACAGAAGGAATTCAAACTGTGATGCATGATAAAGGCTCAGCCACCCTTTGGAGTTGGGGTTAAAGGGGTGAATCTTTTACTCTCACACAGATCAGTCATTTGATGTGGGCTGCCTGAGAAAGGGGCATGACATGATGGATGGCTAGGGGTAATCTGCCAGCAACACTCCCACTCCTGACAGTGGGGACAGTGAGTCCTTCATTCTCAAAGGGGATCCTGCCTGTGCATTCCAGCGTTTATCACAGGAATAGCTTATGGCTAGCAGAGTCAAGGGAGGAATTTTTTTTGGAGAGATAAGACTCAACTTTGGAAACAGATACATAAATAGAAACATTCATAGCCTAATTATTATTCTTCATTGCCAGACAGCCATAGCATATTAAAAAATGGGATAATGCATTTATGGAACACCTCCTATATATTTGGCCTTTGTCATCACCAGGTGTACAAAGATAAGATAATCACCCCTATTAAGCAGCTCACATTTTAGTAGAAGAAAAAAAGCACAAAATCAAACCCTGTAAGGGGTTGTACTTATCTTCTTTGTGTTTGTATTTGTACCACCTAGCACTCTGCTGGTACATAGTTGATTCTCAATAAATATATACAGAATGAGTTAGTGCTAGAATAGAGTGTTTGGGTAGGAGATGGAGTATAGGGATAAATGCCTGGAGGAGTCAGGGAATGCATCACAGAGGAGGATATTTTAATGGAACCTATAACAATAACAATAACAATAACAATAACAATAACAATAACAATAACAATAACATTAGTTTTCCAGGTAAGGAAGGTGTATGGCTGTTAGCATAACTGACACCACCTTGGGCCCTTATAGTTTCTTCTGTCTTTCCACTGACTCTACCCAGGACTGTACTGGGCAGTGAATCACTTCTCTGTTGCCAAGGGTTTTGTAATTAATAGATATTGTTTAATAATCATTAGGACCAGGTAGCCCCTATGCTCTATTAGTCACCAAACAATGATGATAATCTTCACTGATGTACTCCAGGTGCCAAGACTTGTTCATGAATCTTCACTTAGGAATGCACGTCCTGTTTCCAAGCATGTACCACCATACCCTGGGTTAACTGTAAAATTGTCCCAGCGGCCCCTCAGCGGTGCAGAGTGCAGCTGTGAATGCTTCTGGATCATTGTCCACTTGATCTTGATCCCATCCTGTGAATAAGTTACCCTATAATAAACCAATCTATTGAGTATACGGAGCTGCCGGCTTCATTTTTCATCTCGTTTGTGGGCACTTTGCATTCCCTTGGGTCCTCCAACAGAAGGGAAAGGGTGGGAGGAATTAATTTTAGGCAGTTGTTTCAGGGAAAAACAAAAGCATGAAAAAGAACACTTGAAGAGTGGGTAGGAGGTGAACATGGAAGGATAAGTCTATTTAAATAAGGAGCACACATGATACAGGTACATTTTAACATCTATACAGAAATGAGTTGGCTTTTGTGGTAATGTGGAATCTTCAGTGAATTTACATTAATTGGATTTTATAAAAGAGATAATTTTTTTAACTAAAGGTTTGAATGGAAGGGAATTGTTTTCGGTGTACAAGATGGAGGCGTTATGGTATGCTAGTTAGAGTGCTGGTTCTTGGCTCTAACAAATTTGTGTTCGGAGCCTGGCTCTATCACTAAATTACTGTGTGTCCTTTGGCAAGTTACTTAACCTCTCTCAGACTCAGGTTTCTAATATGCAAAATAAAGATAATACTCCTGCCACACAAATTTATTGTGAGGATTACTTCATGTTTGTATTGTGTTAAATATGGTGTTTCATACATAATAAGAATTCTATTAATGTTGTCAGTTACTGTCAGTGAGAACTGGAGACCTAGAAGGCAAGGAGTGTGTGTGTTGGGATCAGCTGCTGAGCTAAGGAAACAGCGGGGCTGTGGTCAAGTCTCACTGTGAAATCCATTCCTATTCTGGAATTCCTCCACTAAAATAGGGCCTTTTCCTGCAACAGGTTAGTCCACAGGTTATTTCTTATTTCTTATTTTCTTCTATTTTCCCAGGAAGGGGGACAATTTGGAGCCCAATCCAATCTAAGACAATTTTGCTTAAGGGAACTTGTCTGCCACTGAACAAGGACAAGAAGGTAGGACACGTTGTAATGAGATGACTTTCAATGCTTGGGGACACCGTGAGGTAAAGAGACCTTTATCTTGGGTAGTGAAGAAGATCTGTAATTCCTCCTACAGAATCTATGGCTGTTCCATGTAGGAATGAGGGTCACTTGCTAGAAGGCTGATATGAATTGATTACTGCTTTTATTTCTTTTCCATTTTAAGGGATTTATTTCTGTCACACTCATTTGCATGTTTTTATGTCACTAAGCAGATTTCCCTTAAAACTACCAGGAAACTTTCTAAAGGCAGCAAGGTCTTCTTCCAGTCTCCTTACCCCACTCCAGTGCCTCTCCTTTCCAGCTTTACCTCTCCAGCTGGCCTACTAAACTATATTTGCCTGAAGCAAATTTTCCTCATTTTTTTTTTTCCAGTTCCTCTCCTCCCACATTGAGAAATCCTGGCTTGTTCTGATTTTGTTTTTCTTTCTTCTTTTGCAGTCTCAGGTTGTTTTTTTTTTCCCCTTTGCCACGAGGCACCAAGTCCTGGGTTGGTATGACTTTGTTGTCCATCTGTGGGTCACTGATTGACCAAGCTGATGCTGGCGGTTCCTTCAGATCCGAAGGGATGGACCAGGTGGCATTTTCGCCCACGCTCCAAGACTCCTTATAATTGCATTGGTGCTGCACGTCCCTATGTGGAAAATACTTTGTGGACTGTCTGGCTTGGGGTTAATTGGTTTCAGTTACGTCTCAGGGGAGCAGAGTCCTAATGTACATGTAGCTCTGTACAAGTGCCCGAACCAGCTTCACTCCAAGAGGAGTGGCATCCTGAAGGAAAGCAATTCCTTTTACTCCACCCCTTTCAACCACTGGCACTCCAGCTGCTGCCAAATGAGACAGAGATGAAATTGGAGAATAAAAGTTTTCAAATGCAATTCATTGTTCATTAATATCCAGGAGTGGCAGATATACAACACTTCTCCTTTCATGGCAGGTCAAAGATGAAATCTGATTACGCTTTGAAAGGTGTGGTTTGCTTCTTGAAATTCCATGCGGTGTCTTTAACGATGTGTTGCCCACAGCAGCCTAAGGTGCCCTTATCTAACCGAGGGAGGCGCACTGGTCTGCATATATAGAGGCAGCAGACGGGAGCTGGCACTTGGAAAAGTCAAACTCAGCCTGCACAATGAAGAAACAGCTTAAGAAGGAGGCAGCTCCACACTGTGAGCTAAGTAAGTAGCCAGCACGTAAGTAAGCAACAATCCAGGGAAGTTGCCCACCTGAGCAGACTTGGAACACCCACAAGAATAGCTCCAGCCATTTTTTTTTTTCCCTAGTTGCAGCAGAAGTTCCTAAAGGAAAGGTTCTGGTCTGGAGGGACTTCATCAAGCCTTTCTGAAACTCCCCAGATATATTGTAGAGAGTTTCTCAGAGCTAATTTGTCCATTTTCTTTTCTCTCCAGGAGAAATTCTGTATGGAAACCAGCCTGTACCAGATAACTGATGACGCTCGGCCCAGTTTTTTGGGTCCCTGAATTTGTTTTTACTTTGTACTTTATTTGGATTTTCCTTTTTGCAGTTTACTCTCCTTTCTTCCTCTCTTGGACTCTTTTATCAACTAATAAAATTTCCTGCTAGCAGTTTTTACATGAAGAAAGAAGTTGTAAGAGTTTATCCTTTTCCCCTCTAGGCCTATGCCTTGGTTAGATAAGCTTGGTTATCTTTAATGTAAGTTATACAGGGGCTGGGGGGAGGGAGAGCGGGGGTGTCAACGGTTCTAGTAGCTTTAAATGACATTATAGACTATTAGGGTGGTTTGTCACACTACTTTCTCTCCTCTAAAGCGCCACTAGTCTGGTCATCTTCAGAGAGATGACTCTGGGGTGTGAGGTTGAGGCTGGGAATCGTGTGGGATTGCTTCTGGGTTGGGGGAAAATAAAGCTTAGGGGAAGAAGCGAGGCAGCTGGGTAGGAGGGAGGAGAACGATTCATTACTGAGGCTTGGGAGTAGGGCAGCTAATGCAGTCGAACTGGCTGCACTAGCTGATGTTTCGCGGTTCCTCCCATGTGTGGGGTGCTCTTGGTGTGGCAGCAGATACTATGATATGGCTCTGGGGACGAGAAGAAATGGTCTTGCCAAGTGGCTATAGGTTGGAACTTTATCTCGCAGAGCCGTATCTCAGAAGAAATGGTCTTGATTTCCAGTACCTAACGTGAAGCTGCGGCGAAATATAACAGGCTACCAGCAGGGCTGGGAGCCTCCAAATCCACACTGTGAGTTGGACTCGCGCGAACACTAGCTCTGCAGGAGACCGCTCCCGCCCCCGCCGCCGTGGCCCCGCCTCCAGCCTGACCCTGGGTGGGCGGAGCCTCGGGATTCGCCGTCAGCCTGCCGCGTGCGCGGGCCTCTAAGCAGACTATGAGGGATCCAGCCAATAGGAATGTGCGACTGCGTTCCCATCGGCCAATCGTAGAGCGTGTAGGGGTACGCCGGCGTGGCGCTGGCTCCAGAGATATGGACCCGCGGGCGCCAGGGCTGTCTGTCAGGTGGTGGCGGAGCCGGTAAGGTGGGCAGCAGTCCAGGTCAGGGGTCACGCGGGCGACCGGCTTTCCCCGGGTGCCGGGCGGCTCGAGGACAGCCCTGGGAGCAGGCGCCGGGACCAGGATAGGGCACGCGGAGCGCGGAGCGGGGCTGTGACGGGCGGTGCGGGCAGGGAGGGCCTGGGTGCGGGGTCCAGATGGAGCCGCAGTATTCGAAGGAAGACCGAGAGGAGGGCGCTGGGAGCGGGGGGCGGGGAGCCAACGCCAGAGATCGCAGGGAACTCGTCCCTTCCCAGCCACGGCCTAAGAGAAATGGCTGAATCCCCGGCCGGACCTGCCGCCTTGCCGGGCCCGGTGCTGACCCTGCTTCAAGACGGGGAAGAGGCCGACGGGCACAGGGCAAGGTCCCTGAGGCCATTTTCTTATCTGTGGAGCCCTGGCGCCCCCTCTGCTCCCTCGGCCTCCCGCCGCCCCACTTCAACAAAAGAATTCATTTTAGTGCAGTCGACGTCCAAGGAGCGCCTTCGTGTGAAGGGCTGGGGCAGGCCGCTGAGTACTTGTGTGTATATTGGTTTTAGGGTTGTTTGTGCAGCTTCCAAGGTCTAGGTACTTTCGTAGGGGGCATTATTGCACACGGGATGTGAGTGGAGTGGCTGCTCTCCAGCTGTTCCGTTTCATATGTCCCTACTTTAAAAACTATGCTTACTTTTTTGATGTTCCGCCTTTGGATACTTCTTAACTTGGTTTCCCCAAGTCCCCCTCATATATCAGACTATTTCAAAGAGCATCATTAGGGGAGAAGTTGAGGAACCAGGGCTTGAGTTTTCCTGTGTGTAAAATGAAGATATTCTCATGTTGTCCATTGCTTTCTAAGAAGCGTTATAAAGTTAAGGGAATGTAACATCTCTTTAAAGTGAAAAGCAAAAATGACATGGAAGAAGAGGCAAGGGAAGACACGTTTCCAGAAACTTTTGCTGGCCATAATTCTAGTGAATATTGGTGAAACCAGGGGACACTTGTTTCTCCTTTGATTCCTGTGGAGTCTGAACCCTGGCTAGTTTGCACCACTTCTTGGCTTTTTAAACTTTGGAGTAAGTTGCTTAAACTCTTTGTTCTTCTGTTTCCACATATTTAAAATGGGGATTTATATTATCAGTCTTTAAGAGTTGGTGGTGAGTATTAAATGAGTTAATACACTTAAAGTGCTTAGAACAATTCTGGCAGGTAGATGTTTTTGTTATTATTACCTGCATGTGCCTTCTTTTCCGGTAAAGATTCCAGGCTATAAGCAGTCTGACATTATCCTTTGCTCAGAATCCTGTGAGCCTATTGCCAATGAACCCTTAGGCCTGTGTTTTCCATCCACGTCATTAATGTTGATCTTGAGGGTACGGTATAATTACCTGAGACTAGAGGCTTTCTCCTGGTTGTTTATTGGAAGCTTTCTCTATACAGTACTGGGTCTGTCCATGATAGCAGTGTTGGGTTAGTGAAACCTTTGGCTCTTTAGTTGTTCATTGTAGAATATTTCATTGACAGTGTCGACTGAAATAAATGCGCAGCCTAAAAGTTGAGAGTAATGTTTTATTTGACGGGAGGACTCGAGCTGGGATGGCAGCCCCTCTGATGGCTCTGAGGGA